ATAGTCACCTAATGGCGAGATGTGGTATGCTGTCGGCCTTCTTTCTTTTTGTTACAAAAAAGAATCACTCAGAAGAGTTTTAAGCAATAACAAAATGATCTCTTTCCTATGGGCATCTTAGTGTTGACCAGGCTCAGCTCAGCACTCTCATTTAGAGTACCTGGCATGTCTGCAGTCCAGGTCATGTCATAGGCTTCTCCTCCATCACGCCTGGTCCCTGGTTGGGGCTACTCTGACATGCTTGTCATGTACCCCATGACGTCTCCATGTGCCTGCCTCGGGGAGGCCAGACTTCTTACACAGGGGCTGGAACCTCCTGAGAGAAACAGAGGACCTGCATGACCTCTTCTGCCCTGGCCTTAGAAGGAATATGGCATTGCTTCTGTCTCATTCTGTTCAAGGCAGTTCCAAAAGCCCACCTAGGCTCAAAGGAAGGGGCGAGACAGACTCCACAAGGGGTTAGGGGTTGCTGTTCAGAGAACTTGCAGGCATGGCTCAAAATCACAGTACCAAGAGTCTACATGGCCAAGTATGGAAGGAAGATCTACTTACAAGTGATGACATTAGGAGAAAATATGGGTATAATTTTCCTTCTTCCAAAGGTATGCAGGGGGTGTCAGGACTGGGGTAAATAAAAATTAAAGTAGATGCCTCCAACCCTTTTGTGGTACTACTACAACCTCCTTGAAGTTACTTGCAAAATAAATTAATGAAATATTAAAAGAACCCTAAACATGTCATGAAGAGCCCTGGAATAGAGATTAAAGAAAAGACATAAGAAGCCAACATAGAAAATCAGTTCTTTAAAATTACAGACCATGACTTGTGACTATCCAGAGCATCCTTGGAGGGAAGGTTACAGAGGGAAGGGTGTGGCAGAGCAGACAGGTGAATGAAAGTAGTCAGGGTGTAGACTGTAGCCAAGCTTCTGGGGTTCAAACCTCAGTTTGCCGTTCCCCAGCTGTATGGCCGTGAACAGGACCTTCTGTCTCTCTGGATCCATTCTCTCAGTTGCAGCAGCGAGCTAATAACAGTACCTGCCTGTTCAGGCTGCCCTGAGGACCAAGGAGAGAGAGCTCTATGCAGTGCACAATATTGGGTATTTTCTCTTTACCAATTGCCTTTGCCAGTTGCAAATGTCATGCCCAAGATAGACTGTGGGCATCCACCAAAAGCATAGGAGGAGGAGGAGAAGGCCCTCTCCTTGCCTTGGCTCCTGAGATCATGTGTACGTTGGAATCCTGTGGAGGTGGAAGCCTTCCTACAACATTTGGGCACCCATTCATCTTTGGGCTTCCACTCCACATGTGTGTCCTTATTCTGGTGTGTTCTGTCGGTTCCACATTTGAAGTACATCAAGCTAATTTTTACTTTTAGTTTCTCTTATATATTTGGAGTTGAGGCTTCCAGAGTCCATTATGCAAATCCATGCAAATAATATGCAAGGAGCCAGTAGCTGCAGATTGTGGGGAGGGGCATGTGTAGGCCAGCACAAAGGGGCTTGAATGAAAATTTGCATGTGTTAGGGGAGCCCGGGTTGAAGGCTTTGCACATTTATTGTGACAGCGTGCATCCCATTCCATTTGTTAACCTCTTGTGCTAAGGAGGAGAGGTAAACTCTTGTCTGATTTCCATAATGAAGGTGACCTTAGAGGATGAAGGAGATGTCTGGGCAGCAAAACTTGGTAGCAATTTTATGATACAAATGAAAAGTTGCTCTGAAGTACTGCCTGTAGAATGGTCCATGTTATCTTCCCAGCCAGCTGCATATTCTTGAGCGAGTCACTTCCTTCCTTCCCTTCTCCCCTGTGCAAGAAAAGGGTTGGGTTAGATGACCTTTAGGGTCCCTCACTAATACATCCAGATGCCCCCTGCTGGTAAAAACTATGATATCCAGGATGACAATTTTCATTCATTGTTTCCAAGATTAATCTCAAAGTCTAAAAGAGTGGCTGAGAGGTTCATTTCCTCTTAGAAAGTAAAACAACATCAAGAGATGCTGACAAGTGGAAGCATAAACAGGAGAAGCAGAAAGGGCAGGTAGGATGATGACATTGGAAGTTCTGGGCTTCCAGCTGGTAAGCTTGGCATTGATGTGGGAGAAGGTCTTCCCCGGAGTGTTTTAAGGACCCACTTCCTCTTGCACGTGATGCTGCAGCATGTGAGTGCTGCAGAAGTTATCCGGGAGGCGCAGATGGCCTGTGTCTCTGTGATGGCCTGGGTTCTCTCTCCTAAACCTTCTTGCTACCCTTGACTGCTGCCCAAGTCTGCTGCATCCTGGATCTCGGGGCTCTGAGTACATGGAACGCATCTGGTGCTCCACACCCGCCATCCTCTGGGGACTCTGTTTTCACTCCAGCTGTTGTGGCCGCCAGCAGCTGGGCACAAGCATAATCTGCCAGCACCTCAAGCCAGCACTTCCTGACAGCTATGTGAGACCAGGAAGGGTAGCACCAAGCCCCAGGGGGAGAGTGCCTTCAGGCAGATGGTGACTTCCTGTCTTCCATATTCCCTTTAGGTACGCATCTCACACATCTCATGGCTGCCCCAGATTGGTTCTTCCCATTTCATTCATCTCAAACTCCCTCAGATTATTTGCCAATATAAACCCGTTATTCACAAGCCCTTGACTCTCTCTCTTTCTCTCTCCTTTCTCAGAGGATCCCTAATGTAAGATCTGTGTGTTTGTTTGGTAGGTTGACATAGCAAAAAGCCACTGACAGTTGTTTCCTCACAGTTCTGGAGAATTCCACTGTCAAGGTGACAGCAAGATTAGACTCCTCTGAAGCCCCTCTTTCAGATACCTGTTTGCTGATTAGTTCTACGAGGCCATGCACCCAACCCCCAGTGTCACTTGCAAAGTGTCCGAACTTCTTCTGAGAAGGACACAGTCAGACTGGATGAAGGCCCAGCCTTTGCCTCATTTTACTGTTAACTACCTCTTTGAAGGCCCTGTTGCCAGAAGCAGTTACATCCTGAGATACCGAGGTTAGGCTTCAACTGTGGTGCTAAGCTGCAAAATGTGAGGGCACAGAGGCTGGAATAACCTCAAACCAACCAGAACATAAAGTACATTGTTTCTTCTGTTGATGCAACTTACAGTCCTCTTCTTCCTCCTGTGCTGTTGGTGGCATTTGACCAGGAATAGCATACACTTAGAAACAACCCCAGGTTCACAGGCTTCTACTGTGCAACTTTGCACCTGTTACCTCATCTCCCTGAGCTCCAATTTCCCATCTTGCCAAGTGGCTGTGAATATTAAATCAAGTGTGTTTCTCTCTGACTTGAATAAGCAGAGTGCACTGTTGGTGTATGATCTGGTTCATGGATGTAAGTTCATTGATGAAGACAAATTATTGGTCCCAGAGACTGAGCATTGCGACCCGAGTCCCTTGGCTTCCCTACCATTCAGAAGTGCAGGTGAGAGGCACAAGGTCACTGCAAGGTTCCACTACATCCTTAATGGTGATCCTGGGCTTTGGGTCACATCTATACCAGCAGCAGATAGATCTCTTCCCCTTCGTTCTTCCTAGAAGCTCCCCTGGGTCCTGGAAGTCACAGGCAAGGCCCTGTCTTCTGCCATCAGCAGCCAGAACGTATGTGGGAATCCCAGTCAGGGACCTACTTTGGCCATTTGTTGCTCCAATCTGATGAGAGAGAAGGACTCCAAGTGAATTAGTCTTGGGGACTTATTGGGGCCAAAGGAAAGTCTGTGAATGGCACAGAAAAAGGGGTGCAAATGAACAAAGAGGAGTAGACAGATCAGAACCAAGCCCTAGAGAAGGCTAGCCGCTCCTCAGGGGAGACCTGCTGTTCCTCACCCATATGTTGGAATGGCCAGGCTCCCAGTGTATGAACGAGGTGGCTCCTATGCCTTGTTTGCATGAAGTGCTATTTAAATTGCACATGATGCTGTGACTAACAAAACTGCAAGTGTTTATGTTTTTCAATTTATAGGTTTTTATATTCTGAGTCTTCAGTATTTTTACAAAGTACAAGAATCAAGATGTTAATTTTTATGAAAAATGAGATTGACATTTGATTAACAAAAGTATATCCTTTTATATTTTCTGAATAAAAATACACACATTAACTATCATGCAAATCATTTCTTTAATATTCAAAAGGATTCCTACTCAGAAAGACTGGGTATCACCAGTGAGAATTTTCCACAGACTTCAGCCACATCTGTGTCGTAGGAAAAACAGTGAATCACAGCAAACACCATAATAACAACAGTGTTTATAGAATGCATCTTCTGCTCTTGACTCTGGTCTCTGTGTTTTATGGGCACCAAATCTGGTTGTCCTTCTCTGGGCCCATGTTCCCTTCTCCCTACCACTTTCCTGTGACACTGGGACATCTCTGCCTTATTTTAGCATTGTTTGTTGATCTGTGCAAACTCATCCAGGGCTGGAGTCTGCCCTGTTCATTTCTGTCCTCCAGGGAAGAGGAGAAGGTCGACCTTCTTTGATTGTTTGGTAAGTGCATCTGCGTGAATGGAGGTGTGACCTTTAGTATCTTGCTCCAGTTCAGAAAAGCAAACAGAATTGGGTGGCTCCGCCTACCCAAGTCTTTCTCACTTGACTTTGTGTGGCTCACACCTTTAGTGGTGAGCTAGCCTGCAACCCTGGCTGTAGAAGGGGAGGTGAGAGAAGCAGCTGCCACTGATCCTCCTGTACTCTGCACCCCTTCTGAGAAGCTGCGCTTTGGTGGGGCTGACAGCGTTCAGGGGGAACTGGGGAAAGGACTTGACCAGCCAGCTTGACTTCTCTTCTGGTTTCTCTTCCTGACCAGTACTCTAGTGTCAACCTACTAGACCTGTCCCCACTCCACATAAGATTCTGTGTCATACAGAGTACCAAGTGCCAGTGTGGGCGCTGGGAACACACCTGACCTTCTCCCTGAGTTCCCAGAGTGTTCCAGGTCACGGATAAGGAGAACCCAGCTGCAAGCTGCCTTCTGGGCGTCTCACTCCTCCTCTCTGTCTCCCCTTCCAGGCTTCATCCTGACCGTGACACTGACTGAAGCGCTGGTAGTTGCTGTCCAGGAACTGGAATCTCTTCAGGTCCTCCCCTCTGGCAGTCCCCCAGGCACCATGGTGACTGCACCCCACAGCCAGACCACACACTCCTCCGTGGTGACACTCAGCCCTCCTCCCGATGGACCCTCACAGGCCACAGCTACCATGGCAACAGCGATACCCCATCAAAATGGGCACCCTCCTATAAATGCCACTTCCACTGTCCTGGTGACAGCAACCGTCCTCCATCCCGAAAACCCCCTGCCCACTGGTTCTCCTCCAGTTGCTGTGGCAACCACATACTCCCACTCAGAGAGCCATCCCACAGGGGAAGTCACCCCCACCATCTTGCTGACAAAGCTAACAGGAGCCACCAGCCGCCCCACCACAGCAGCTCCTCGAGCTACCACGCGCAGGTCCCCCCGACTCTCAGGCTCTTCCCGAAAAGGGGCTGGGGGCTCATCACGCCCTATCCTACCTGCACCTGGTGGCCACGCTGGGAGGAAAGAAGGCCAGCGGGGGCGAAATCAGAGCTCCACACACCTGGGGCAGAAGCGCCCACTAGGGAAAATCTTTCAGATCTACAAGGGCAACTTCACAGGGTCTGTGGCATCAGATCCCTCTGCTCCTTCCCCCAGGACCCCTAACGTCTCTTTGCCACAGCCCCAGACAGTGGCTGCAACCACAGCACCCAGAAATGCCTCATGGGTGCCACCTCCCACCCTCCTGGTACCTGCAGAAGACAGTCCAGGACTTGTCACAGCAGACCAAGGGGGTGGTTCCAACCTCATGAGCCCAGGAAAGGAGCTGAACACCACAGCATCTGCAGTTCCTACCAGTTCACAAGCCACCCCAGTGCCTTCTCAGCACCCCCATGGTGACACACAGGACAGCCCCGGCCTCAGTGACTCTTGGCTTACTGTCACCCCTGGCACCAACAGACCTCCATCTGCCAGCTTTGGGGTCTTTACAGTTATGATGGGGCCAACCCAGGCTGCCTTCAATGCCAGCATCTCAGCCCCTTCCCAGGGGATTCCTCAGGGAATATCCACAACCCCACAGGCCCCAGCCCATCCCCCTGGAATCTCAGAAAGCACTGTTTCTCTAGCTGAGGAGGAGGCTACCACCTCCCCCTCGATGACCAACAGGGTGCCCAGTCCTCTCTCCACAGTGGTGTCCACAGCCACGGGGAACTTCCTCAATCGCCTGGTCCCTGCAGGGACCTGGAAGCCTGGAACAGCAGCGAACATCTCCCATGTGGCTGAAGGGGACAAGCCCCAGCACAGAGCCACCATCTGCCTGAGCAAGATGGACATCGCCTGGGTGATCCTAGCAATCAGTGTACCCATCTCCTCCTGCTGTGAGTGCCCTGTCTTCCTTTGTGGCCCCTTCCACCCTTACTGTCCCTATACCATGTCACATTGTTCCTCTCCCATATTCTCTTACTCTAGAGTTGAGCAGCCTCCAGTAAGGGGGCTACAACGTTTCCCTGAGTCCCATGACACAGTTGAACAGAACAGTTCTGGGCTGACCCTGTCTCTGGTCCTGGTCTCTGCTGGACCACAGCTCAAATGTTCACAAGTCATGAAGCCCCAAACCTAGGCACTGGGGAGGACCTTATAGACAGGCTGATCCAGCCCTCCATTTTGCAGAAGGAAATGTCAAGCTAGAGGGAAGATAGATCAGAGTTAGACAGGCAGAGCTGGGGTGCAAGCTCAGCACCCGTCCTCTAGCCCAGGGCTTCAGCCATGACACCAGCCTGTCTCAGGCACAGCCTGCCACCACTGGAGCAATACAGCACCAAGATGTCACAGTAGGAGTTGACCTCTCCTGACTTACAGTCTCCAAGTAGCAAAGTCCCCCCCTCGTCTCTTACTTCTCCTCCACATTCCTTCTATGTCTTCTTTTCCTTCCTCCATATCTCCTCCTCCTCCCTTCTCCCCTAAGAAGGAAGGAAGTGTGAAGTTTTTACATAGTGGGGAGTTCCACGAGCCTTGGCGTGAGAGGTGTATGAATCCGAGCAGTCCCCCCTACTTTGCTTGTGCCATGGATTAGCATGGGAAGTTCATGCCTTTAATATGACTTCTGCTTGGAATTATATTCCAACCAGATCTCTTTTAAATCTGGAGCCTCAGTTCTTTTCAGGAGCCACTTCTCCCAGGCTGATCCAGTTTCCAAATCAAAGTTTCCATGCCAGGGTGTAGGCAACCTGCTTCTGCTCAAGGACTCAATTCAGGAAAAACAAAGCCTTTATAAGGCACATGCATCATCCTTAATGAAAGCAGTTTTACTGTCTCTCATGAAAACATTTCTTAAAACTGCGATTTCCTGCTTCTAAAGCAGAAGAATGGTAATGAGCTAGGTAGCACCACTGACCAATAAATTACTAATAATGATCACATTCGAAAAGTGACCACATGAAACATAGCTTTTTATCTTTCTGTTCCTTACATGTGCCTGGAATGCTCTGGTTTACAAAGAGAATTTCCAATGCCTTTTACCATTGTGGCCTTGAAACAGACTAGCCATAGAAAATAAAAACCAAAACAAGCAAGTAAATCCCTGTCATCACCCACACCTTATAGCTGCAGAGTGAGTCACTAGGTAAAAGTGAGTCGCTGGAGTCCCAGTCACACAGCGTGTCAACCCGAATTAGGAGGTGCAAGGCCTGTCTGATTTAGTGCAGAACAGTGTTCCCTGAGGCCCCTGTGTGCCACACACATTGCCAAGCACTAGAAGATAGAGACAGGTCACGTGGCTCCCCCCCAGCTCTACATACAATGGAGACAAACATGAGCCGAGACAGGAGCAAGGACTAGGACACAGTTTTTTGTTTTGGGGTTTTTTTTTTAAATAAATTAGAAAACAAAGCAATAAAAACAGAGCAAAACAAGACAAGTGGTATAGGATTTCAAAACAAGATGATAGGAAGTTGACAATGGTCACTCCCTTGCATATTGTTATCTTCGAAATAGTTGCTCAGATTACAAGATACAGGTGTGTGAAACAGATCAAACAATGTAAGCGCTCACAGTTTGTTCTCATGAACTAATGGAATTAGTAGTGCAGTTATCATAGCTATTCTAAGATACTGCTTTCCAAAAGAAAATGCAAACTTTGTTCAAAGTGGACTCTTGTGGCCACTGGGGAACTGCAGGGCCCACCTAACTTTAGCATTTCTAGAACCTCTGTAGGACAGAAATGGTGAACCTTTTAGACACCAATGCCTAAACTGCATCCCAAAACCCACTTATCACAAAGTGACAACACGGCAATTAAGCCTAATATTGCGGTTTTAGCTTAGAAGAAACAATTCATACATTAACATCTAAAAAACACCACCACCCATGCCATAGGTTCACCACCACTGATGTAGGAGGTCCCTCTCTCTTGCCTTGGCCTAGGTTGCCTCCACACCAGTCTGGGGCCTGGATTGTGGCTTCAGCTCCTCCTATGAGATTGAAGCCTCTGAAGGCCCTGGTGAGAGGGACATTAAGGAAGAAGGCTGTGTAGTAGCCTCAGAACCCCGTCTCCCTTCCCAAACATCCCCGTGCGTTGGGTTACATTCACAGCCCAGCCCCGTCTGTGATCAGGTAAGCAGAGCTCTTCCAGGCCTGAGGGCCCACGTTTCAGCACACCTAATGGCTCCATTTATGCTAAAGCCACTCTATCAGACCTCAAAGGAGGACGCCATCCCTTGCCATCTAGCGGTACATTTCAGGTGTTCTGGGATGGTAGCAAGACTTCTTCTCCTCTGACTGCTTAGACCACTACCAGCCCTGGCCCTGTACTGTCCAGCCAGAACTGCTGGTCAGGGTGAGATTCCTGTGCTTCTGGTGGGTGAAGGGGTGAGCATAAGAAAGCCCAGGGCTGCCTGAGTGAGGAAAAGTGTCAGCAGCTTACCTGCCCTTCCAGACAGATCTCAAGCCCCACCCAGGGGCTGGAAGGGTGTGTTTGTGTGAGGGCTGAAACATGCTTAGTCTGTAGAGCCCTGCCAGACACCCTCAGCAGAGACAGTTTCAGATGTGCTGAGAACTGAAATCCATTGGACCCAGGCCACAGTGGTCTATGCGGGGAAACCATGTGGCTCCTGGAATGGTCTCTGCTGCCACCATCAGGATGCACAGAACTGCTGCCAGCTTTGTGTTGGTCCACACCTGCCAGCCAGTGCTGTGGGTTTCCACAGGATGTGAATTTGGAGACTGTCTTGTACTTGTCACATCCATTCTTGAGCGTGTCTGGTGCACCATTCCAAGACATGCTGCCTCACTGTGCCCACGATTCTTGGCTGCATTAGTGGTTCAGTGTTCATGGCCCCTAAATGATTTTGTAATTATAAGAAAACATAAGTCAGAATATCTTTTGCCAGTGAAAGAAAGGAATTGGACCCATACGGAGATGTGTCTGAGAGGGTGTCTCCTAGGAGTTTATGGACCAGTGGATGAGAAGGGGAGAAGCCTCAAGCAGGCAGGGTGCTTCAGGGGATGTCGCCCTAATCGTAACAGTGTCATATGCACACTCTGACAGCTCTTCTCTGTGCGCCCCAGTGAGTGCCCCCTGCTGTGGTCCTCCCTAGTCCTCTGCAGGCTGTTGGACTGGGGAACCAGGTACTTAGTACCCCAACCTGGTTTCCTCAGCCCTGTGGCTCTTTCCATAACCTGAAGCCTCCCCATGGCCTCCTCCCTCAGTCTCCAGAGGAGGAAATGACGGTCCCCACAAGTTCTGCCCTTGCCTTTGCAGCGCTGGACTAATCCTTCTGCTTGCTGCTCTTGAGTTTTTCATTTATAAAATGAGGGAACCAAACTGAAACATGTCACCACTTCCTTAACTGTCACCTGTAAAGGTCACGCTGCTGGATCAGAAATATTTGGCTGGTGGATACAGATTCACTTATACCTAACCCCAGTTTTTGCCACTCATTGGCTATAGGACTTAGGCAAGTTGCTTAACCATGTATTCAGTGCTTTCTAATCTGTGAAATGGAACTAATGTCCACTGTCCATTCGGGTCCTTCAGGAGGCAGGCACCAAGCTTAGATTGGGCATGCAAGAGAACCACTGAGGGACACACCTGTAAAATGTCCTAGGAAGAACTGGAAGAGGCAAGGAATGCTCAGTGCAAGTCTGACACCCACGGGAAGAGAGCTGGGAGGGCAGAGGACGGGGAAGAAGTTTTAGACTGCATTGCAGCAAAGAAAGTTCTGCCAGGCCAGTGAGAACTCCCTGAACCCTCAGAGGAGCCATGTGTCCCGTGGGACGAAGCCTGCTGTACTGCCCTGTCAGTCAGTCAGGGCTTGGTAGGAGCAGCCTGGGAAGTGTGGCCTCAGCACAAGCATACCAGAGGGCTGGTATGCAGGCTTGTTTCCGCCGTACTCCACGCACTGGGAAGTCTTATGTTTCCATCCTACCTGCAGCACCCACCTTGAAGACATGTAAAGATCAGAGATGATGCGTGTAAGGTTTTATCCGAGTCTGCCACAGAGAGGGTGCTTAGTAGGTGAAGGAGTCACTTACTGCTGTTAGCATGATGCAGAGCATACTCAAATAGGCTAGGCAGAGAGCAGCTCAGCAGGTGTTTAGAAAGGTCGCATCCCCAGGGGGCCTATGAGGTTTCATTTCCTTTTCTGGTTACACAGTGACTTCCCTCACCTCAAAGCATGCCCCTCCCAGAAATATAAGTCCAGTACCCAAGACTCTGTCTTAAAACCAGTTACCCTTCTCGCTACTACACTTCTGGCAAACTGTGGACAATTTTCTGGTAATAGTTCTGAGAAGCCAAGAGAGCGTGCCCAACTCTCAACCCTGTTTGAAAACTTGAAGTAGAGATAACCATTCATCTCCTCTGGGTTCCCCATGACTGTGGTCTTTAGAGACACAGAGCAATTGAGTTTGCACTAAACTGGGAAGGGAGTGGCTGGCACCCTGGGTCTGCATACAGCTGGAGAGTTTGGCCACTTTTACATACCTAGTGTACATTCTCCAGTGTTGAAGACTATATAGGACCATGGGTATTAACTCAAAAGTCACTAAGACTCGGTGCAAATTGTAATTAGCTGATCTTCCTGCCTCAGCCTCTCAGAGTGCTGTGATTAAAGGCATGCCTCACCGTGCCTGTTTTTGTTTTTGTTGTTTAAAGGAATTGGGGGGAATGATAGAAAATTAGAAATCTTTTTTGTTCGAAGCAAGTGAGATAAAATGGAAACATACCCCATCTCTTGTCTTTGCTCAGAGGCCTTTCAGATTGAGGTGCCAATCAGGCCAGCAGCTGAAAGGCTATCTTCTTATTCTGCAGGGGCTCTATGCTCACAGTATTGCCACAGGTCAGAGCCAGCAGCACCCGGGAGCCTGGAATCTGGGCTCTCAGCCTGAACAGGTGCCAGCTTTTGCAGCTATCCTGTGCCCGGGGATGCGCCCAGATGCTGGCCAAATTCCCAGCTGCTCGGCAGTGTGGGCCCCTCTCTACACCAGGCCTCCGATATTCCCCAGCACAGAGATGGCCCAGTCCACCTGGCCCACACCACCCCAGGAGGTACCACGGAAAGCGAACTTGAGCAGGATATTCAGTCCTCACTCACTGGCTTCTCCCCCAGGGGGCATATGTCACCTTGCAGCATCACCGTTCTGTGTGTGACCTGGACAGGTCACCGAAGATATCAGGAGCCTTCCTGGAAAGCACTCTGTTCTCACTTAGTTCATCAAACTCCAAACACATCCCACTGCCCTGGGCTGAGTCAGGGTGAACAGAGAGAGTTGCCCATCATGGTATGCTCAGTCCAGCTGCAGAGAGCCTGCGCAGGTCACCAGTACAGGCTGGGCTTTTGCATCAGCATATGGCAGAGCCACAAGTGCACGAGAGCTCAGACTTTGGGGTCAGGTATCAGGGTTTGTCCCTAGGTGAGTCACTTTATTTCTCAGACCTTGAGACTTCCCTTCTGTAAAACAGGGACCCTAATGGTCTGACCCCTTGAGGTTACATGGGGCATTAAATGAATCAATGGTTCTAGTATGCCTTCAGTTTGCACCCAAAAAAGGCCTTGCTTACAAGGGAAGGATCTCCAGAGTGTGGATATACAGAGGGGGACATCCCTGAGCTGAGTGGACAGTAAAAGGGGCAGGACACAGTAAGCCTCACAGAAAGGCCCTCAGAGGCCTTGATGGCAAGGGCCCACTGAGAAAACCCCTGATTAAACAGTGCCTCTCTGGCCCATCATCTTCTCTGTGGGTGTGGAGGTCCTCTCTGGCCCATCATCGTCTCAGTGGGTGTGGAGGTCCTCTCTGGCTCATCATCATCTCAGTGGGTGTGGAGGTCCCTAGGTAAAAGCTGCAGACGGTTATACAGGGCTTCCGGTGCAGGCCCGTGGGCTTTCAGGGAGGCCTCCATGGTGACTCCCGACAGTCTCTCCCCAGATCACCCCGGTGTCTTCTGCATTGCTCGGCCTTTTTCTCATCAAATAGTTATCACTCTCTGAATTTGCCTTCTGTGATCATTTTGTTTTGTTTATTACTTTTTAACTAACCCCTCTGTACCCATCTGTACATGTACTAAGCTGGAAGTTTATGAAACTTAGAAGGCTTCGTCGTTTTCCCAAACACTTAGTTTCTGGCACAAAACAAGCATCCACACAGATAATAGTTGAAGGAACACACTAGTGAGTGGATGGGGTGAGTGGCTGACGGTTGTGCTACCTTAGCAGTGTCACCTGGAGACCTGCACTTGTCACCTACAACACTGGCTCAGCCGTCACTCCCTGCCCTCCTCTGACATGGCCTGTCCTCTCCACAGCCGTCTTGCTGACAGTGTGCTGCATGAGGAGGAAGAAGAAGACAGCCAACCCTGAGAACAACCTGAGCTACTGGAACAACGCCATCACCATGGACTACTTCAACAGGCACGCAGTGGAGCTGCCCCGGGAGATTCAGTCCCTGGAGACCTCTGAGGTGATGAGCCCCAGCCCTCAGTCCCCTGCAAGTGCTGGTCCTGCTGCACAGAAAAGCACAGGCCCCAAAGAGAGTCACAGGGCATGCACTCAACTGTGAAATCTGCTCCACCATGGTCCAAGGACCAGCAGCACCCTTAGCAGCCGCAAGTTGCAGGCCTCACCCTAGCCCACTGGGCAGGGTCTGCATTTTATGTATGCAGGGGTGTCTGGGTGGTACTGGGGCTTGGGGCTTGAACCTAGGGCCTTCACAAGTAGCTACGGGGTCTCCCTAAGGCACTAAATTGCCCAGATTGGGTTCCAACTCGGGGTCCCCCTGCCTCAGCCTCTCAAAGTGCTGAAATTAGAGGCACCCAGTTTTTAGGGTGACTTTTTAGCAAAAAATACTCCCTGCATGCTGAAGTTTGGACAGCACTCTTCTCAGCACTTATGGTTTCAAGGTGCAAGTAAATCCTGCTCTTTGAGGGCCGGCTTTGTGCAAACAGGACTGTGATGATGAGAGCTTGCTCAGGAGGCTCACATACCCAGATGTAGTTGGAGGACGGGTGCCAACATCACTCAGAAAAAAACAGATGAGCGGAAACAGAGGACAGTAATAGACACAGCACTGGAGACCCAGGGGAGGAAGGCTTCCCAAGAAAGTGCTGGGAGGGTAAATGCATCCTCAGGCACTGCCCCGGGGGCAGAGCCTGGGCTCAGGGGCAGCACAGGAGCCTCTGCCCCTGACGCTGGTGGGCTGGGCAGTGCGCGTGGGACTGCAGGGCCAGGCCTGCCTCCAGCCCACCATGTTCGGTTCTCTCTTGGGGAGGGGCTGTAGGACAGCACAGAACCAGGGAGAGGCACACAGAGGCAGATGAGGCACAGCCTTGCCCTTGCGTGGGGTGTTAGAGTCTGTTAAAATTCTGCACTTTAGGCAACGTAGTGTCAGGGTTACACTGACCCTGACAGGGTGCTGCATATTGATCAGAAAATGGATAAGGAAAGGAGGGAGAGGTGGTTTAGCAGGAGTGTGAGTGGACAGAAGGACAAACCAAAACTAGCTAGTTCAACTTGGATGCAGTTTCGATGGTCCAGGAGCAAGGTGTTGATAAGGAAGGCACAGTCGGGGAGAGTTCGTTTCTGCCCTCCCAGCAGGTCAGCCCTCGGGAGTGATTCTGTACAGGCAGGAATGCCATCACATCCCCAGGTCCAGAGTCCCTCTGCAACTTCCCAGAGCCCTGAGTTAAAGTTCAGAGTGTTTCGCAGGGCCGATAGGGAGACCTGCTTCTCACCCAGTGTTCTGGCCACACATCCTACCCCCCACCATTTATTTGCTAGGCTCCAGCCACCTTGGGTTTCTTTTTATTCCTCATGGCACCAAATGATACCGCACCCACTCCAGGTCTGCGGTTGGGCTGCTCCCTCTCCTGGTGTCATCCAGGTCCATCATTCAGGGCCCAGCCTAAATGTCACCTCCTCAGGGAGTCTTTCTCTCCTTGCCAGGCTGGACGTGGCTCCCCTGCCATTGGCCCCAACTCTCTCTGCTGCTTCATCTCAGCATTCATCAGGGTTGTGATTCCATGGCTCTCTCCACAGTGGACAACTGGCCACTTCTGCATTGCTCGCAGGGCTCAGTGCTGAGCGCTCTGTACTCCTCCTGCAGCAGCATTGCTGACACCTCATGCCCACCCAGCAGCAGGGGCCCCAGCCTCTCTGTGTTTCTCCTGCTCCCAGCAGCCCCTTCTCAACTTCATTTGCTGAGCTTGGGGCCTCATCCGTGCCCCAGCCTCTGCTCACTGACATACGCTGGCTCCATCCACCATGGCTCCACTTCCCTTCCTTCTTACCTTCACAATTTAAATACCGTCCTGCACTACTGACCTTGAAATTCTCCCTGGAGCCTTGAGCTGTCCTTTGAACGCCTCACCCACCTGCCCTATGAGCCTAACAGACACCTCCGACTCCGTGTGCCCAAGACGGAGCTCTGCCTCCCCTCTGCCTGCTGCCCTCAGACATCAAATTCACTTGGGGGCCAGTTGTGAGCAGGTGCCATCAGTTTTTCCAAAGACAGAGCTTTGTCTCAGTCCAGGTGCAGCGCCTTCTCTCACATCAGCACTGCTGCACCGAGCTCTGCAAACGGAGAGCCCCATTCCCATCTTGTCTCTTTGGTCTGCAAGGACCCACAGCAGCAGCCGGGCCCCTCGTCAGCCGTCAGCCATGGCTCCCAACTCTCCCAGGCTCCTTCCTCTTCACGGTAAAAGACCTCAGCTTCCGCCTTCCAACAGGCCCTTCTCTAGCGGGCTCCTCCTACCGGCCACAGCGCCCCCAGCCATGCTGGCCTTTACTCTTCCTCGCTCTCAGAAACGCTTTTCTCCTGGATGCCTCAGTCCCTCTCTTCCTTCAGGCTTCTGTTCAAACATCACATCCTGGGGGAGCCATTCCCTGACTCCCTAAACCAATTAATCCCCTGCCCTGTCCCCTGGTCCCTGCCCAGGGTTGTTTCTTTTTTTCTTCAGCTCACTTGCCACCATACCCTGTTGTTCTTCCTCCTGTGATGGACTTCCTGAAAATGCAGGCGAGATCAAAAAGGAGTGACTGTTCGAAATTTTTTAGAAAATTATTAATAATTATGATGCAGGAGGATCACCACGAGTTCAAGGCCAGCCTGGACCACATAGTGAGTTCAGGACCAACCTGAGCTACACAGCAAGATACTGTCATTAAAAAAAAACAATAATTATTATTATTATAGTGACAGACACACTGCCATTACCCCTTCTCAAAATCCTACCCTTGACTTCAGACACACAAATCCTATCATCATGCTTCCTTCTGAAGTTCTAAAGTCCTCTTTTCACGAGTGTCTTTATGAGGTGTGATAAGAAGAACTGTGAATGCTAAGTACCATCCAACAGAAAGGCAGGCCCCTAAAATAGCAGTCTCCTCGTTCATCATTGCAACCACACCTGGCACTGTAACTTCATGCTCATCTCCAAAGTCAAAACGACTTTTCAAACATAGATGATTTGAATAGATCCATAACATCAAACCAGCCACCACAGTGCAACTAAGATACTCAGGAAAGGACTTCCAGAACTGCTTCAGAAAGTGGCCAGAAAGATGGGATAATGTTACGAGTAAGGGGATTAATAACAGTGTGTTTTTACTGTAATCGTTTTTTAAACCTGAAGCATTCACTGTATTTTCTGATCACACCTAATATAAGCTGCCTGAGGGCAGGAACCTCCTTTGTTGTGTTCCCAGCACCAGGAATAGTGCCTGTACTTGGCAGATACTTGGTGAGTATGTATCAAAAGAATGAACTGCAAATTTTATTCACCACAGTAATCCTAACACAAAGTAGATGCTTAATAAAAAAATAGACTAAAACAACTTTAAGCAAAGGATGAGCAGAGGGTACAGGATTTGTGGTAGCACTAACCTTAAGTGGAGACAGTGCATCTGTTATGGCACAGTAAGTAAAAAGCTGGAAGGCCAGGGATTTAGCTCAGTGGCACAGTGCCTGCCTGGCAAGCACAAGGTCCTGAATTTGATTCCCAGTACCAGGAAAAAAATAACTGGAACATAACAAAGGACTGGCCCTACTTTAACACCTCTCATACTCTCGGCAAATTGTATGTGAAAACCAAAGTCAAGGCTCAGTGCTGGTGGTACACACCCCTAGAACACCACAGTCAGGTATGGCTCCAGCACCACGCATCCTGGGATCGCACAGCCGGAGGCCCTGGCGGAAAGGGCCATCACAGCCAGGAACAGGCTCTAGAGCAGGAGGACGGAGGACGAGGACACCTTGGGACTCACAACAAATGGCTTGGCTTGGCTTACAAGCAGAATGAACCCTGTTTGCCTCCCAGCAATCGACTCCTCTTTATTTAGAGAAACATGCCGGTTCTGTTTGAGTTCACATTGAGTACAGGTGAAGACAAACTTCCCAGAGCCAGGATGCAGACAGACACCTGACTGCCGCCCATCTGCCGGGTGACCACAGGGCCCAGGGGCAGATTCCACATCTCCATGTCCCAGGACGTGTGCCCACGGCCTGTCTGTGGCCACCAGCTTTAGAGACCGCATGGGCTTTGCCTCAGCGAGTTCCTCTGGCTCACTGAGCCCTTCTGCATTGATGAAACCCACAAGGTGCAAATCCTGAGCTCGGCAGACATGGTGCCACTGCCCGGAGGCTGCTAGGAACTTTTCTCTCATTTCTTCCTCTTCCTTCTCCTACTCTCTTTTTCTTCTTCCCTGCCTTCTTCCTTTTCTATGTAACTTTTTTTATGCTGTGAAACACACAGTTCACTTGGCAAGCTCTTGCTCCCTGCGAACTGTGAAGCAAGCTAAACTGAGCCTGCAGAACCCCTCACGGCTCAGCCAAAGGCTCAGTGGCCAACAGCGATTTCTGCCCTGCTCTGATGTGCTGCCTGCCTCTCTGTTAGAAGGCTGGCCCAGGACTGTCCCCCGGCTCATTGAGTGCTCAGCCCACGACAGCCTTTGAAGGAAAATGCTCTATGCTAACAGTGGAATGTCTTCCTTTCTCCCCTTTCCAGGCATAAAGCAACAAATCCTCCTCAAAAATTACCTTCTGCCTATGTTTTGCTTAAAAATAAACTTCGGAGAATTAATTATGGCTTCTTAAAATGAAGTCATTTCTAAGCAAATATAGCATACTCCAGTAAACTAGGCCCGCTGATTTCAGCTTGTTTGTCCTGAAATGGCCTAGAGGTTTTGAAACCTCAGTTATTTAGAGTGGGAACAGTCTGCCTTTCCCCATCCTCCCTTCCCTCCTATTTACCTTGTTTCCACATCCCTCCCTTGCCTTTCTTTCTTTTCTCTCTCTCTTTTTTATCCTACATGAAAATCTGGTCTGAATTTGGGCTCAGCCGTGTAGCCTATCATCTCTGGTCACTGAGATCAGACCACGCCAAAGTACTTAGTTTCTAAGCAGTGAATTGCCTATTTCTAGGCTCCTCTTCCCTGCAGTGGAGCAGGCAGGCTTTTTTGACTCAGCATCTATCATGCAGTCGCACAGATTCCGGTACTCTCAGCTCAGCCCTGCTTATGTGACAGGAAATGGGACAATAATTCTGCTCAGGCCCCGGGAGAGTTTGGAAGGGGAACTGGACCTTGACATCTGACGGGTCTGTCAGACTCTGCCATGTGAGTGGCAGGAAAGGAGAAGAGGGGGGCTGTACCCATGTTCACAAGGGAAAAGTGAGGCATTTCCCAGAAGTCTATGAGAAAGGGGCAGGAAATAAAACCAGGGGTCCTAGTGGACCAGTTTTGCCCAGCAGGGCAGCAAGCCACATGCCGGATATGTCTTGCAGGGCAGATTCTCTCAGACTTTATCAAGGACAACACCACCTACCCCAGCAGCTCAGTGTAGGGTGTCAGAATGAGGACACTACTATAAAAACAAGAAAGAACAGAGCCGCTGTACCTCAGCTATGGCAGTGGAGCCGATGAAAGCGGGGCCAGAAACCCTGAAGCACACAGCTCTGTGTGTGCATCTTTTTAGGAATGGCCACTTCTCACAGCTTCCCTGGCTCACATAGTCTCCCTCTCTCCCCAGGACCAGCTCTCCGAGCCCCGCTCCCCGGCCAATGGCGACTACCGCGACACCGGGATGGTCCTGGTGAACCCCTTCTGTCAGGAAACACTGTTTGTAGGAAGCGACCAAGTGTCTGAGATCTAACTGCAGCAGCCTTCGCTTTGCCATTCCCTATTTTTCGTCTTTAAAAAGTATAAATATACAAATATATATTATAAATATAACCTTTGTGTAACCCTGACTTACTGAGAAACATTTTCAGCTTTTTTTTCCTAAGAATTGTCAACACATTTTTTATAAGTGTGGTTTAAAAATGAAACAAAAAACTTTAAAGAATGACCTGTGGCTTTATAAAATAAAGGTATTTCTAAGCAAAGCAGTGGCATTGATTGCTTCTCTTAATAACTGTCCTGCAGCACCTGGAGCCCCAGCAGCCCAGGGCAAGTGAGGAAATAGACAGACCTGCAGAAGCTGAGTGTTAAAGCGGTCCAGAGCATGTCCTTTGTGGGGCTCGCTCTGCTTCCTCTAGATTCAGTGTGACACTCTCCTCCCTCCTGGGCCACCCAGGAGGAAGACAGACTGATGCACAAAGCGTCCCTCTGAGGATGGCACCTGCAGCATCACAGTGGCACCTCTGACATCAAGTTTAACTCCACCCGAGTTATGACCTGCAGGCAGGAACATGCAGCCCTCAGGAATCCACAGGGACATGGAGGCATCTGAAAGCTGCACCCTTCCAACATCACCTACAGGGACACTACCACCATACTAGCAACACGATTGGTCCCCATTTCCCAGGGCAGAAAATTTTCTTTAAAATCTCCCTTGAAAAGCCCCTTTCTGCGTACCCTCTGCTACCCATATCTGTAGCAAAGACCCGTGCCTTCTCTCGGATGGGTGTGGACACAATCCCAGCCCCAGAGCTTTAGAATGCGTGCCCTTCCTCAAGGGCCACGAGTTTTTATCTGCGGGGCTTACTTTTGCTTTCTGCAGAGGCAGTGCTATTATGCCCCCGAGGAATGGTTCCTCTAAGAAACTGAGGTATAGAGCTGTCATTTTAGAAACCTTCCTCCTGCAATCTGAAAAGAACAAGAGTCATGTGGGAGAGGACCCATTCTGTCCTGCCTGGCAGCCTCAGTCAGCCCACGGACTTGTCATCAGCTCATCTCCCGTCCCCTTCCAGGCTGGGCTGGCTCTGCCACCTCACTGAACCCAGAACAGCCAACGGGTCAGACTCTGTTCAGTGCAAGCAGGTTTTCCAGACATGGCACCTTTGTATTTTTCCCTAATAGTGACTAGGAGAGAAGATAACTGCTTTGATGTTTCTTTTCTCAAAAAAAAATAGTTTGATAGTATATTTTGAATATAGATGTTCTTATAGTCAGATTGGGAATCAAATTTGAGTGTTGCTCTGTATGTTTGTGTCTGTTGCTGTGGTCTTCTCCCCATGACTCTTTCCTTTCTTCCTATGTTTTCCTTTTCAAAAAAAAAGATGGCCTTCAAAAATGTGTGTTTCAATGTTGTATGAACTGACTTAGACATGAGTTTTCTTGTTGTCTCTCTTCAAAGACTCAACTCACAAAGAAGCGGATTAAATGTTCCTCCGAGATTTGTTTTCTAACATGTCTGATCTTAATGTTTCTGTTAACTATTGCATTGACTATTTCAATGTGTGTGAGTATATATAGAGAGAAATCTGTTTGTAAAGTAAAATTTATATATAATATATGTAATCAAAGATACATATGTTATATATACATTTGTGGATGTATGACTTATTTTTCCATATCCACAGAATTCAGCTACCATGTATATATAAATAAACTTATTTTATTACCCAGATAATTAAGATGCTAGTACATTTTGCCTTCTTTTTCATTTTTAAAATAACTTTCAAGCCTCGCTGAAGCAGTATAAATACTACTTCCTGTTCTTCTGTATTTTTTAATCTGATTTAACTGGGTTTTATGAGTGTGGTGAGATAGTAGGATTCACAGTTTATCATTTGATGAAACAGATCCTTTAGAACATGTTTGTGACTCCTCCAAAAAAGAATCACCTCCCTTCAGGTCTTTGGGGAAATTTTCCCTCAACCTACACTTCAGTACATTTATGGTAAATATCTTTGGTGGAGAAACATAAAGTTAAGCACTGAATTATCATTCTGTGCCGTAACAGTGCTTAAGCGTGACACTGTTGCAAATAGTTGAGTAGCTTGAGTCTGTCTTTCATTTAACTTTGAATGGAATTCACTATAATGTAGATCTTCATCCCAGCAGTGTCGCCTGTATCAGGAGGATGTGATTGTCATGGTATCCAGTGCACCATGTACCATTCTGCACTGCACGGATGCCACATGTAGATTTACCAGGACACTACCACCTTTTACTTGATCTAGTTGGTTCCATAATCTGTTCATCAAAGATGAACATCATCTACTATGATGATAAAGTGACTCCTGTGTCACAGTAAGTACCCAACACAGAAAGAGGGGAAAGGAGAAGGGAGAGTTAGGGTGCCCTAACCAACACAGACTGAACACAGACCATTCTAGTAGGTGACCAGACTTTTTAAGGTGACTATGTGACCTTGGATCAGTGCTCTGTGAGTGGTGGGTGCAGGACTAAATCAGAAGAGGCCTCCTCATCTCATCTCATCTCATCTCATCTCATCTCATCTCTGCTACTTTCTGTATCTGGGATCCTGGGTAAATCTGCAGGATTTAGAGTGCGTAGCACAAGGTGGGGATTACAGCCACTTACAGATGTACAATAAATAACACTTCTGGAGTTGTGCAGTGTACCATCCAGGCAACAATATAGTGGTAACCCTGTGTTTCCCCATCTTCTGAGGTTGAACTGAGAATTCAGTGACACACAGCATTGATTGGGATGGACCCAGTGCTCGTAGTTGGCCCTCCTCCCCTTCCCTTGTTTATGATACACTCCCACATACCAGATCTGTGATAAATATCCAGCCCTGGATTTCGGCTGCCTGATTTTCCTGCAGTAAAGCATAAATACAGTCCATGTTGTGACCTTGGGCCCATGTTGTCATCCCAAGGCTGGAGGGACTTTTCTGAAGCAAGGGAGGTGTAACCCTTAAGAATGTGCCTTAGCGGAGGCTGGGGTTAGGAACTAGAATCGAGGGTATCTCACCAAATCCTAATGGGGTGCAATTTTGAGGAGTTCTTTTCATCAGTTTTCTGACAGGTGGGGAAGCAGAGGTTAGGCAATCAAGTACAACAAGTGTCCAACTGCCAGACTCACCTAAGATGTGATGTTTGCTGTGTCAGAGAGTCCGAGCCCAGGCCAGCATGGGATGTAAGGTCTGGGGAGCTGAACCAACTCAGCCCAGGTTAAGTAGCTGATGAGCAGAGTTTGAGAGGATGGAGAAGAGAGGGAGGGAAGAAAGTTGCTGGGGAGGAACCTGGAAACTGCAGGGGCTAAGGGAGAGAACAGAAGCAGCAGGCTAGGTGTGAGTCTCCTGGGTGCCTGGGGCCATGGCTGATCCACCTCCATCGCACCCTCTGTGACCTTCACATACATTCATACTTGCACACACACTAGCACGCATAGAGACCCAGAGAGCAGCGCTGAAACCCTTACACTAGATCCTGGCTTGTGATCTGAGTGTTAAGAGAAACGATCACCACACTTGTAGTTAAGGTTCCTGAGCCTCAGTTTACTCATCCATGAAATGAGACTGCTTCCTGCCTAGTTTGATCTCTTTGGCAGCAAATTCCACAGACCTAGCTGATCTGCCCTCACAGCCTGCACTGACCCAGCCTCCCCCACACCAGGAGAACAATCTAGGTAGCTGGGCACATGACCTCGCATCACAGGATGCATGAGTGCCTCTCTGCACGCAGCCCGGGCAGGACCTATCTCCCTTTCAGCTCAGTGAATGATGGAAATGCATGGAAAGTAGCATACAAAGAGCTCTGGGGGTAGAGGAGCTTCCAGAGAGGCGCATGACCAGGCCACAGGGATGCTGGGGTTGGAAACCAAAAGCCAGTGGACTCTGCAAACCTGCTGGACGCCAGAGAGGCAGAAGGAGGGATGAGTGAGCCGCGAGTGGTGGTGGAGTTGCCCTCCAGTGCCAGCCCTAGCATGCCCCTCCAGAGGCACAGGGCATCCTTCAGGGGGGCTCGGTCACCATCCTCTCTGGAGAGCCCACCACCCTCCAGAACCAATGTCATGGGCAGTGTTGTCCGTGCCCCTGGGGTGTATGTAGGTATGGCACCCAGTGGGTACATAGGTGGCCTGGGTGCTCGTGTAACTCGCCGAGCCCTGGGCATCAGCAGCGTCTTCCTGCAGGGCATGCGGAGCTCAGGCCTGGCTACAGTGCCAGCTCCAGGCCCAGATTCTGACCATGCTGCCGGTGAGGACCTCGGGGGCTGCCTGGTCGGATACATGGCCAAGGTGCAAGCCCTCGAGCAAGTCAGCCAGGAGCTGGAGACACAACTGAGGATGCTCCTGGAGAGCAAGTCCAAGCGCTCGGGAGATTGGGGCACCCTCCGGGCCTCCTGGGCCAGCAGCTGCCAGCAGGTGAGTACCTAGGCAGGCCCCTGGGCTGGGCAGAGGGCTGGAGGGGGCGCTGAATGCTGATGAAAACTCTAAGGCATGCAGTTTGCCCAAGATCACAAAGCCAGTAGGGGAAGGGTGCCCCAGTTTGAACCTGGATCTCTCCTGCTCCAAATCTGTGCTTGTCCCATTAACTTGGGCTGCCTCTGTCACCTTCACTATTGAGAAAGTACTAGGTTTGGTTTGGTTTTTTGCAGTACTGGGATCGCAACCAAAGCCACTATGCCACTGAGCCATACCTCCTAGCCCTTTTTATTTTATTTTGAAGCACGGTCTTGCTAAATTGCCCAGGCTGGGTTTGAACATAAGATCCTCCTACCTCAGCTTCCAGAGTAGCTGGGGTTGCAGGCATGAATCACTATACTCAGCTAAGGGATTTTACAGACATCATGTGACTGAATATTGCTGACTAGATATGGTATTAAAACAATGAATACAGATGTATCCCTGTACCTGTCTATAATAGAAATATGAGCCACATCAATAATTTAATAGTTTCTACCACCCACAGTAAATAACATAAAAAGAAACAGGGAAAGTTAATATTACTATGATCTTATTTAACTCAATACTGTCTATCTAAAATGCCATTTCACCATACAATCAATATAAAAATATTAATGCAACAGCTTATATCTAAATAGAACTTTCTGGGCCTGGGATATAACTCAGCAAAACAGCACCTCACCTGGTGAGGTGAGGTCCTATTTTCAAGTCCCAGAACTGAAAAAAAAAAAAAAAAAGAAAACAGAACTTTCTGCAGTGATAGGTCTACATTCCACTGTCCAAT